CTTCCGGCTCTGCATCAGTCAAGCTCTTGTAATGATGATTCAAATTATAAGCCTTAAACTCAGCAATCAGCTATCCACAAACAAAACACACAGCTTCACCACTGACTTCTGCATTACTGTTTGTTTTCTTAATTTAAGTTGACATCTTTCAGGGCTAGCAAACATCTTATGAATGTTGTTTCCAAGGCATTTACAGTGAAGGTGCATTCACTTGCACGCATCTACATACGTACATTTAAAAAACACCAGTTGCCTTGGAAATAAACATTGCTAAAGTTGTATTGTTATTTCATACAAAACGTATCATCACACCACGTGTTAACTAGGTGTGCAACGATACACAAAATTCATTTCTTCATTTATTTTAGTTCAACTGTACTACTAGCTTTGATTTTGACTATCCTTGTTAAAATATGACTCAAGGTGTTTAGTGTTATGGAGGGAAAATACTCATCAGTCCATGTAATCCCTCTAGAATCCTGCATCCTGAGTATCAAGTGGAGATGGGCTTATTTCCAGCACCATATTTTGTTTTTGTGCTCTGAATCATGCAAAGCTACCATCAAAGTTTAAAAATAATCATTTTATATCTTATACTTGGACTTGGCACAGATCCTCTTAATTTATGTGCCCAAGATGACCATTTTAGGGATATCTGCTCTCAGTGGAATATTCCAGAGCCAAGAATTACAAAAAATAAAAACTGCCTGAAAAACGGCAATCTTTCACGGCATTCCTTATTCTGAATTATTTGTAGCCATGACAGTGATTAAATGCTACTCTCACAATAAAAATTCCCCTTAACTGACCCAGCAGAAACACCGCTGTAGGGCGGCACTTGTCCACCCGCGTCTCCTATTCGCATCACCAAAGTGCATCGCATTGCTCACTCCCCTACAGCGCTCCCTTGATCAGCAAGGAGATTAATCCTCTTGTTGACTCTGCACCTGTACCAGCATGGGTCTAAGTTGTCTATGATCAGCACTGTCTGCACGGCATGGAACTGAGTGCGCACGCTTGTAACAACTGTAGTCGGGTGGCTTCTTGTCCATCCCCTGGCTGCAGAGATGCTGACAGAACAGGGGAAGCTGATTGTATCGATGGCTGATTAGAGAGTCTCGGAGGTGGGGAAGAGAATCCAGCATCCCCTCTAATTACAGAGCTGATGAATTCTTAGTCGCAGACAAAGTGGGCAGAGGGGCCTCTCTAGAGAGGGGGCGATGGGCCAGGGTTCATAAATCAACCTCTATCACACAGAGGTGTAGACACACACCTGAGCTGTTTGAGGAAGTTGTTCAAGGCAACATTTAGGCTCACTGTGACTTCTACCTGATGACTACTGCTTTGATGCCTGGATACATCTTTTCTGATCTACCCTAGGGGATTATATTCATCTTGAACACAGTCTACAGAAAATCTAATCCTGGCCCACCTTCACTTTATCCTCAAGTGGATAGAAAAGCAATAGAGAGGAGAATCTGAAGGGCAAAGAGAGCAGGACAACGTGGAGTGACACCTGCATTTGCTTTTCATACGAAGAGGAATATTCTTAAGATGGCAGCCATATACTGTAGCTTATTTCTACATTTTGTTTTTCCCAGATGTATTTTTTTAAACACCCGGACATCGGATCCTGATTTTCTCAATATTTCACATATACTAAAGCCTATCATAGACAGGTACTGGCACATCTTTACTCCAAAGGGGGCAGTCGTTAAAGAGCAAACATATAAAGTCTGATCTGTTTTTTGTTTGTTTTTATGCTGCTACAAAAGGTTCAGCCAAAAGCCAAATCAGACAGGTATGAAGGGTGAAAACTGAAGGCATCTTTTAATTCTTTAATGTCAGAATTTTACAGCAGTGGTTGAACCTGCCTCGCAAGGGAAAACTACTTCCACTAATCCCAAGAATATTTAAAATTCATGAGACACATCCACAGTAGTATTAAACCCAATGTCCACACTAGTGGGGGTTTTAGGAACCCTAAAACAGACTTTTTAAAAAATGCTGCTGACCCAGTTTCAGCTATAATTTGAATTATAATTTAGTCTCAAAAGGGCAGAACTGGGGACTTTTGGAAACTATGAAGCACACACCCACATTCATTTCCTGATTAGATCTTATCAGTCACACAAATTAAGCCAAAACATTATTATATCAAGGCTCACATACCATCTGTGAATTCATCCCACTTGTGTGTGCTGCTTTCCCATAATGATCCCATAATGCTGCTCATACTGCACTAATGTGTCACCATATTTGCTTTGCAATGATTCCCAACGTTAACAGGTTTTCTGCCAACATGACTGCCTTTGCATATAGGCTCCACTTAAGGTCCAAGCAAAGTAATCACTAGTCTTGTACTCATTGCTCTTCTTCCTGTTTTGTCTAAGCAACCAACCTCCTGCTTCCTGTTTACATTGGCAGAGCATGTCCAGTGAATACTAATGCTCAGTGTCCTATGTCTACAGGTGTGTATTAGGATGGCCAGACTATTCCTGACACTTTGCTAAAATATTATCTCACTAATATTACAATATTAACATTTGCTAAAGGCATCACTATTAGCATACTGTGAGGTAAAAACGGAAAGGCAAAGTTGGGTTGGTGCAGCTGCAGCTGCTTTGTTGCTGCTGAAGAAAAGAGTAAATCGAAGTTTATAGTCACCACATTGGTGGTTGCGTGTGCCACCTTGTGATTTCGCCACAGCCCTGTAACCATTCATCCTGTCGCTTGAGGTGCAGCAGACTCCCTGCAGTCTTCTCCTGATTGATGAGTGCCACCTCTCAGAAAAAACGCTTACGCATCAGCAGCGGCACAGAAGCAGATAAAGTCTAAACAGAAACCAAAGAGACTGCTTTTGTCTCTCTCACATCTTTTTCCAGAACCTCTCACCTTTACTGCAGTATTCCCCCCTCCCTGTAATTTGACAATCTCTGAGCTTCTGTACTAAAATGACATTTAAGTGGCAATAAAGACCAACTCGATCGCACACTCGTGCCTCCAACTAAGACATGTTTTCCAATTTACAACCAGAACGACGTAGTACTTCATCCAGCTCACAATTCATCACATTTCACAGGTTATTGCACATTAAATGACAAATTTAACCTCAAGCACAATTTGGGCGAAGATCCATCAGGTGGCAATTGTGTGCAAGTTTCATTTGTGCATTGTGGACAGGTCGACTCCTTGATGTGGTTTAAGCTGAGCCATCTTTCATCAGGACGAGCTCAAAATTGAAATGTGAACAACCAGTCGAAAAGACGCACAAGTGGTATGTGTACCAGTAGCTGTGATGTCACTTTTGGTGCATACTGCACTTCTTTAAAGTGAGAACAGTGAGCATAATTCGGTGTAAAAAGACACCAAAGAGTTGATTTCCTATCTTTAGTAGGAAAAGAAATCAGCACAAGCCATCTGCCAATCCAAACAGAGTTGAACATACATATGCAACCAGCTTAAGTTCATTATTATCTGTACGATGGCTGGACCCTCCCTCAAAAAAAAAAAAAAAAAAAAAAAAAAAAAAAAAAAAAAAAAAAAAGGGAAAAAAGAGAAAGAAATAAACCTCTCAAAACACTTGCTTGGCATAAATTTATGTGGGAGTCGGGACTAAAATAAGAGCACCAGCTACAACACTCAAAGAATGATGAGAAGTAAAGAACGAAGGGTCAAGAATGTGACAGTAAAGAGCAAAACATGCTCAGCTGCCAATGCTACATCAAAGCTATGCAAGCACCTGCAAAGACCATGCTAGCAGCGAGGCCTCAGGTTCAGAGTGATGATAAAGGGCAGCATCTGACCCAAACCAGACAGGCAGGCTGACTTCCATCAGGCAGCAAATGCAAACATGAACAGGTGTACATTAGCACCTGTACTTGTTTCTACAGTGGAAACACTGACAACAGTTTTCTTTACTAAATTGGGGATTTGCATGATGTGTGTGCATATAAAAAGTTAATGTACACGATTGCAACTGTTAATTCTGAAGGTGCTAATACAGAATAATACAAAAGTAATACAAAGGTGGTGCAACAAACTACTTTCTACAGGGAGTAAATACGTAATACTCTTTACCCAAAGTGAAGAGTAAAGAGTATTACAAAATACACAACTTACAATACACACAAAAAAAACAATGTGAAATTCAGTGCTCTCAAATTTACAATCACAAGTGGATGGATAACAGCTGAACAGGTACAACTGGATCTGAATGCTAACATTCTTCTGGCTGTTAGTTTTAAGGTTTTATTTTTTAAAGTTTCCTAACCCTTTCACACTTTAAAAACAAAACAACACAAAAAAAAAACCTCAAACAGAAATGTGAACAGCAGCCTGATGAGATAAATCAGCAAATTTAATAGCTTTAGGGAAATAAATAAAAATCCCTGAACATCTTAAGATAGACATTAAATGTCTGATACCAGTGCATTTATAGCTTAAGTGACTTGATTTCAAGCTTATTTTTATTTTGTTAAAAAAGAAAAAACAACAACTTTTGTTTGCTGGGAAGACATAAGGAGGCGGCCTATGTGAACTGAATGACAGAACTGACCTTAAATAATGACCTGAAAACACAACAAGCACAGTAACACTGTGGCTGATCAACTCTCTCTGCCGACACAGACGTAACTTTGTATTTATTTTAGTGTTAATATGCGTATTAGGATTTTTATAACTGCACTGGCAGAAGGGAGACTGACAAAATAGTGTAACAACTGTGCGGTGTACATATGACAACAGCACTTCAATTAACAACTAACATGTTCAAGATTCAGCAACATGGGCCTCTCCCTACATTGCGCTGTCTGATTTTGTGATGTAATGTGATTTTCATGCGACAAAGTCTTTGCTGCACGCGTGCTGCAAAGTACATTTGCATTGTGGTTCTGTTTTCCCTCCTGTGAATGTGACAGATTAGTTTACTGTTCCCTGCATCTCATGTGAAAATGCTAAAGGTAAATGGAGAGTTTAACGATCCAACATTTAACTCTTACCTGTAATGTACATGTGTGACTGTAGGAGGCCTGTAGCCAAAGATCCAGGTCTGGATGTCCATCGGTCTTGCTTTGGGGTACGCTATGGTCATGTCTATAACCCACTGCAAGCCTTTACGTTTATTAGCTGCCAGGGAAGAAACACAAACGCAGAAAGTGAGAAGAACTGGATAAAATCAGTCATCCAAAAACGTTCACCGACACTTCAATAGCTGAGATCATCCTGATTTTTCCGCTTTAAGACCGTATCTGTAATCAGAAGGTTTCCTAAATAAAATACCAAAGCATGCAAATTAGGGCTGGTTACCTGCCAAAATGACTGGTGGAGTACCAGCTGAAGTCCCTGTTTGACAGAACTTGGCTGGCAGCTATGTTTGTGAGTCATAGCAAAGGAAACATTTTCACCTCTACAGCTAATCTTTCATAACATGTTTTTCTATCAGCGAACTCTTACTGTTGTTGTTACTTTTAGTTTTAATGGAAAAGGCAAGAGGAAAAAAAATAGACGGGAAAGCGGGGGACGACAGATGGGGGAGGGAATGCCAGACATGCGATTGAATCTGGGAGTCAGCTGCAGGGTGCATGTGGGTGAGTATTTAGTTGCATTAAGCAGGGTCAAGTCTGTGCTCACCTGCTCATAATCACAAAGACAATAAAATAAATTAAGTGATGTGTGTAAGGCCAATTTGTCGAACCTACACTCAACTTCCTGCTTCTTGTTATTACAGGTTTGGATATGACTCTAACATTACAGCGATGTGAAGCCTTCCACCCTGCGTTCCTTCTAGGAAAAAAAAAAAAAAAAAAAAAAAAAAAAAGCAGAGAGAGCAAAACACAAGCCAGTCTCAACATGTCCTCAACCTGCTTCTTCCATCACTACACAACGAAGAAGTTGAAAACAACAACTGACACTGGGAATCAAATTAACTTAACGGGACTGCAAAACATAAGATGATGGTGTGAAAAAGTGCTTTCCCTTAAGCTAATACTCGGAACAGGCTTGTCAAATGTAAAACAGAGGAGACCAGCAGTCTGAGCTGTAAAGCAAAGCTGACGTGGAGCAGTGCAGCATATTTGACTGCTAAGGTCGCAGTCCTGTCTGCTGTTACTGTGCAGCGAGCACTTCCCCCTCAGAACACACTGGCGTCTTTATGGGAAGTAAATATGCCGTGTCACAAACTGGAGCTAAATTTTACAGATGACTGACTACAGCAGTTAGAAAAAAGGGAAATAATGCAAACTAGTTATAAATGATGGGAACAAAATGCAGAGAAAAGCAGGGAAAGGGAGTTAAAAAGTGCAGCAGAGACGTTATCAAGTGGAGTACAGACAGTTACACTTCACGTGTTGCTCTTGTTTAGGTGACCTGTCAGGTCAGTACAAATCAATAAGGTTATGTTGACAGGAACAGGTTATGTTGACCCGTTACTCTAGATATGTTGGCAAATTCTACAAACTAAATTGCCAAAAGGTAGGCATTTAAAATTTAAACATGTTTAATTTTCCTTGTGAACTGCAAAAAGTTTAATTATCACACAGCAAAAGTTTAGCTGCCCCCAGAGACAATCAAGCCAGTGTTTCTTCTAGGGTGTACTCCTGTTTGACTGCAGAATACTACCAGAAAGATTGTACCATTTTACAACGCTACGCCATCGGCACAAATCAGCGTCACGGAAGAGGCATTCCCACCTCGAAACAAGACTGAAGTGGAAAAATATCTATTTTTTGCAGTGACTATGAGGAAACAAATATTCAGAAAAGAAGAATTTTATGAAGAGAATAGCCCTCCTCAACTGTTAAATATAGGGGTGCATTAGTTTGGGCTTGTGTTGCAGGCAAAGGCTCAGGAAGCATTTCACTGCTAAAAGGGAAAAAAAATGGATTTAATAAAATACCAGCAAAAATCTGACATGAAAAAATAAAACAAAAACATCACAGTGTCCAAAAGTTTAACTGCTCCTGTTGTTCGGGTGTGAGAAGTATGAATGATCAGCACAAAGTGGTAAAACACTAACAGGATTGAATGGGTTACCCAGATAAAAGGCATCCAGATATGCTTCAGTTTCAGTAACA